GAAATCATGAGATGCGGTCTGGTGTGACGGAAAACATTTTTTTCATCAAGCCAACGTTTCGATCTTTATCGAGATCATCTTCAGGGCTCAAAGTGTTGGTTTTCTGTGTAGATGTGGCATTACGTAGAGGTATATATTGTAGTATATAGATAAATATATAAGTTGGTAGATAAATATATAAAAATCGGTAAATAGACAAATGTATAGATAGATCGATAAAGAGAGAGAGAGAGAGAGAGAGAGAGAGAGAGGACCAGAAAGAAAAACGTGAAGAGAGGTAGATTGATTTATATATAAGTAACTTGAAAGGTAAGATATATATTTATGTAGAGCGTTAAATAGATAAGTTGATAGACAAAAATAAAGGGAGAAAGAGATAAGAAGAAAGAATAGTGAAGACAGATAGTTAAGCAAAATACAGTTATATAAAGAGGTAGATATTTGTTAGATAAATAGAGAAAATATATATAAATAGAATGAATGAATATCGTTTTATTTAAAAATCTTGCACAGGAAAGAGAGAGAGAGAGAGAGAGATTTATCATTCCCCAAAACCTTATAGTAATGTGTTGATGTCGTCAGGAGCAGTCAAGAATGAGGTAGTTTAGAAAAACAACTTTTTCATTTTTTTGCTGACGTTTCGACCTTTATTCGGGTCGTCTTCAGGTACTGAGTAAATTACATAACATATGTTGATTGTAACAAATACAATTTAAAATGTAAATATACATTAATATTAAATACAACAAATCACGAAACAACAGGTCACTAAGAAACACACATTATAGTAATGTTTCTAAATCACTTCTTATATAGATAATACTAGAAAAATAATTAAAGTCTTCTATGTGCCGTGGCCAATTGATCAAGCTTAAATTAAAAATGTAATATTGTTCGTAAGTCATACACTTGAAATAAAAAATATTCAGAAAATTGCATAGCAGGTTTAACTAAAAAGATCTCGATATATTTGTTACTCGTTTTCTTTTTTTTAAGTATTTTCATACTTTCAGTTCTTACAAACGTAAAATGTACAAGCCGGGTTTGATGTGTTGTCCTAATAGATAACTGTTAACAATCTGTTAATAATCAAATTAATAAATAACTTTCTGCTTAATGTGTGTTGATTAGTGACCGTTAGACGATGATTATTCAGAAATCTTCAGATATGGTCTGGTGTAATGTAGGTTTCAGAAAAACATTTTCTTTGTCGTGCCAACGTTTCGATCTTTATTGAGATCTTCTTCAGGGCCTTAAATTTAACAAATACATGTAGGACATTTCTGCTTAATTGTGACCAATTGATCGAGGTTAAAACCACGTTTTACTCAATTGGAATAAATGCATTGAAAAAGTGTTAAAATGGACAATATCCTCAAGTCTAATACAACTTGAGGTGTGACCAAGAAAGATGTGCCAGACAGAATTGGTCTGTACAAATGAATTTCTTTGAAAAATTTATTTTTCATAATTTTCTTTTTTGCTTGACAACCAAAATATTAATTTAGTTTCGTTCGTCTGTTTCGTTTAATTTCCAATCTAATATAATTTCTATTATTTATGTTTATAAAAAATATATTTCATTTAAACAACATGAAGGTTTTCTGCATAGCTATGAAAGAAAAGATGATCATGCCAAATATATCTAATTTAAATTTAAAACAAAAAATTACACCCTACGTATGCTAGGCTTAAAAAATAACACTATAAAAAGTAGAAGTATAAATTTACATTTGGAGAAAACGTTGAACGTGCATCAAGTAAATAGAAAGTATACAAGCAATGGGAACAGGCCAGAGAATAAATAAAAATAATATTTTACTTAAATTATTAAAGCATTGGTAAATACAAGCTATAATACTTAAACAATAATAAAACTGGTATTATTTTTTGTTTCTTATAACCACTTTTTTTTCAAAGAATTCTAGATCATGGTCAATAATTGACCTTTTATAAAGTGTAGCTTTTACTTCTACTATTTACATAAATAGTTTCGTCTGTATAAGTTTACATCCAATATGTAGATTTGTTCAGTGTACACCACGAACAAATAAATTTGTCAACACATTAAAAAATAGACATGAAAATTTGTTTGACGGAGTGAGAATATAAAAATAATTTCAATTATTTGAAAAGTTGATGGTTTAATGGTTCTACTCACAAACTTGTTTTACAATTGTCCGATTCTTGACATTTAAATGATCAAATTATCTACAAGAATTTTAATATTATATTTCCATGTAGTAAATGTACTAATTTATTGACAGAAAACTATTTCACAGTAAAATTGTATTCAGCACATATGTTAAATGTATACATATATATATTTACTTGATTAAGAGTGTATAGTTTTGTATAATTACAAATTAAAATTTATATGTAAGGCGTACGTATGGCGTCCGAGTCTTATTTTACACGTGAGTGGCCGAGGTGCGAATCAGGGTATAGACATAGAATTTTATATTAATTTAGAAAAATATTATAAAGTTATGACCTGTTATGTGGCACCAAAAGGAACAGTTGGACATAAAGCCTCTCTGTATGACATGAATTACTTTATTTTATCCGTGTTATACTTATACTTAACACAACTTATTTTATAGTAAAGATTTTAGTTGCTCGGTGATATTATACAACTCATTGTGACAACATATTCACTTCTCGTTCATCAGAATGAAAACACTAGTTTTAGATGCATGTTCGAATATCTGAAATACTGAGTAAGATTTTTTTATTGTAATTTACAGTTAATGTAAAATAACTCCCGAATGTGTTAAAGGAAAAAAGCCTTTTGTATGAGCAATTTGGTTTTATGTTTGAAACCGCATAAAGAAACTATCATGATGAAGGTTACTCTATTAGAAATATGTGTTTTCAATTTGAACAAAAGGTAAGTAAAATATAACTGAATATATAAGTTGTAGTTCAGAACTCCACCAGGTGGTTCTGGTATGCAAGACAAAATTAGAAAACTTAACTATGCAAAAGTCACCCTTCACTGTATTCGAGGACACGTCGGAATTGAAGGAAATGAATTTTTAAGAAAGACGCTGACACACTTCTGTCCGGACACCTTCTGTGGAAGAGTACAGCGCTGCAGACAATTTTAGACTGAAGGTAAAGGGAAAGATTCTAAACAATGAATTGTCAATAACTACAGACAATCGAAGAACTTCATCTTTGGATAGAAAGAAATTTCAAAATCCAATTGATGAAATGAGAAGAAAAACCCAAAATACAAATACCTTATGGAATATCGAGTCTTTTGGGGCAGTCGGAATGAAGTCTGTAGTGAACGTAACTCAGTAGCGCGATTGGTAGAGCTTCGTCACCAATTATCCCGAGATATGCTAAGTACTGTCAAGCAGTGTGAACTAAGTTTGATGTGTAAATATAATTTATTTGCTTGAATGGAGATGCTTTGTCTCCAATTTCCCCCGGTAATATCGGGTACTCTGAAGAAGTGTCACTGCTTAACATTTTTGTACTTGATAGAAATCACTAAAAAACATTGCCGTATTTTTTATGTAAGGCATGTAAGAACAGACAAACTAAAATTAAGCAGAAATTAACAATCTACAAGTTCATCAAAAATATTTTAAATACCTTGTTGATTTTAATAAAAACGAACAAAATATTTAAAATATTCTATTGAATAACCTGTAAGTTGATTATTTTCTATTTTTATTCAGATATTTTTTTAGAAAAAACATTTATTCTTCCATACGTTTCACTTTGAATCACACGCTTAATAAATTTTTCATCGTCGCTCTTTAACATTTTTGTCTTTGAGAAAAATATAATGACAAAAATAATTTAAAAACATTGCATTATTTTCTATCTAAGACATATATTTTTAATTTTAAAAAATCAACAATGTATTTAAAATATTTTTGATGAACTTGTAGATTGTTAATTTCTGCTTAATTTTAGTTTGTCTGTTCTTGTTGGTTTTGTGTGTCAAGACAATCATTTTTGGAACCGTATATAATTCTTGGTACCTTTAGGTATTAGAGTGAATGTATTTATTAGCGCGAATGGAAGGGCTTATCCCCAATTATCTCGTGGAATGTCGAGTACTCTGGGGCTGGGTGAATGCCGATGATGTATACCCGCCTTAAAACTATCCACGATCTAAAAGGTTTTTGAAAAAATTGGCGTTAAACAGCATTGGTGTAGATTCTGTACAAAAGTAGAAGAAATCCGGACACATACTAGAACTAGAGTAAAATAATAAATATAAACTACCGCTAATTCTAATACGCACCATTCAAAATACTTCATAGCAAAAAAACTGAACCAATGGACACAAATAATACATCGGAACAAACGAGAAAAAAACTCTTAATCTGACAAAGCTGTCGACAGATTAAGATAACACGGTGAAAATAAATATACGCACAAACCTACGACAGAAAATGAAACAATTCTGAGATAGATTGGCCCAATGAGACTTAGCCGGAATACACTCCCCCGTGTTTGGGCCCATAATTACAAAAAATTGCAACTTCTGATATTAGTGAAAGTTAAATATGATAAATTAGCATTCATCGGTGTGGTGTAAGCACTCTCCTGTTATGATCTTTCATGAAAGTCGAAATATAAAGCCACTTTACTTACAGAAAATTTAAATTTATATTATATAGTCTATTATAAATGTCATGTAGAATGATAAAATTAAAAAAAAACAGTACATGGTATAGCATGAATATTGTTATTCCAACTTTATGCTATTTTCTGGGGGGTGTAATGACTTTTAGAGGGTGTGGGTTACACGTAGGTCCTTTCATAGTCGATTTTATGCTATTTGCAAGAACAACCCTTCTATCCTTTTAGATATAAAGCTGTTAAGCCGAGCGTGGTTAGTGGAAAATCTCATCCCCTAATGTCGTTTCGATTTGACCGGCCGTCTTCTCGGCCATTACCTCACTGTAACGGGGCTTGGATTCGCACTTACTTGTAATTTGCTCTGGTATGCCGGGGTCACTCTCTAGGAGTAGGAAGTGCACCTATTTCAAGTGGGGGGTCGCCCAGATATAAAAACCGCCTGTCATACTCAACTGCATCAGATCGGACTTCGGAGTTTACGAGAATGAAGCCTTTGGTGAGTATATCCCATCAAGGAAGGCAGTCATCATGATGGGAATACGGATAATTTAATCATTTTCGATTTTTTTGACCGGATATCTCTATCAAAAATTCAGCATATTCATCTGATATTGCTGATAACATCACACACCTCACTGCCAAATTGTTACCAATAATTGAATTTTAATAAGCTTTATCATACTAATTACAATTGATCACTACACTTTTTTTTTCTTGAAAACACAAACCATTAAATTTAATAGTTTTGTTGATCATGATTATTAATAATCCATCATAAGTCTGGATACTTTAAGACAAATATCAAAATATATTATATTGTCTTAATAAATTTTCTGAAAACTCTACTAACAAATTGATCAATACACAACATAATATATTAAATTGTTAATCAATCACGTGCAGCTATAACATACATAACATAAATGTTAACTGTTTATCGAGCATGATCGTTGATGTTAAATTTAGTCTGATTTTAATCAAAAATATTATGATATGAAGAATAATTGAAATGTTTATACTTTGCTATGTTAAAATTTTAACTGATACCCTTTCAATAATTCAATTAACCAATGACAATATTTCTTTAACTGTAATCAATTGTTTTGGGCTTAATTGCAATTTTATAGCCTAACACACTAATCAATTATAATAACGTAAAATATATTACAGCTAGGTAGCTTTTATGAATTTTTGGGCTCTAACAATTAAAAAGTTTTTTAAGCACAATTCAATATTATTAATCGCACATTAGCCTTGTTGTTTTTGCCACTTTAACCTAACAATTTTGCACATTCTAATATTTTTACATTTTTTACAAAAATGTTAATTAAATTTTAACTATTTCGAAAGAATTCAATAGTTAATAAATAACTGCTTTAACATTTTTTATGGCTGTTTCTTCACATTATGTTTCTAACAAAATTACACATTAATGTACTAACACCAAATAATAAGTTAAGATATTTAGTTTGTATTATTATTACAGGTCAAATGTTTTATAGATTTTATGGCACTATAATAATTAATTATTAATATAATCATCTCCAGTAAAAATTTAGTTATGCACGAATACCTAAAATTCACCATTATACGTAGCATGTTTCACTTCTTTTTGTTTTTGCCACTTTACTCTAAATCACTTTAATTTTTCACTTTCCACATTGCATTTGAATTAAAATTTAAATTTTCTGAAACACTTTATACAATAGTTAATAATTAACTTACGTTAACATTTTTATAGTTGTTTCTACTGTTTATGTTTACAACAAATTTATAGATTATTGTAATAATATCATGTAATGAGGTAAGTTATTTACTTTGAATTGTTATTTCAGCTCGATTGTTCCGTAGCTTTTATGGATCTTCGCACTTTAATTATTTATTATTCATCTAATTACAGTAAAAATTGAGTTAAGCACGAATCCCTAAAATTCGCTATTATATTTAGCACGTTTTACTTCTTTTTGCCACTCTAATCTAACAATTGTTCACTATCCACGTTGCATTTGAATTAAAGTTTAACTTTTCTGAAACGCTTAATTAAATAGTTAATAATAGACTGCTTTAACATTTTGTAGCAATTTTTTTTTCTATTTGTATTTATCACGAACTTATAGATTAATGTACTAATAACTTGCAATAATTAAAGATATTTAGTTTGAATTATTATTACAACATTGGTTCCCTATAGCTTTTATAAATAAATCCTGGCACTGTAATATTTAATTATTAACCGATAATCACCTCAAGTAAAATTTAGTTGAACACGAATGCTTAAAATTCTTGAAATTCATTATTGCATGTAGCACAGTTTACACCTTTTTGTTTTTGCCATTTTAATTTAACAATTTTGCACAACAATTTAACTATTTTAACTGTTTAACTATTAATTTAACAATTTTAATTGCATTTGAATTAAATGTTAACAATTATGAAATACTTCAATAAATAGTAATTAACTGCTTTAGCATTTATAGCTGTTTTTTATGTGCATGTCTATCACATAGCTCGATATAATGTTGTGGTGCGTGTAGTGACAAGACATTTAGTTTGAATTATTATTGCAGCATGTTGCTGTGTAGCTTTTATGAACCTTGGCATGTGACAATTAAAAATTTGCCTAATATTCTTGAATTTGAATCTAGTTAAGCAAGAATACTTTAAATTTCACTATACTATATCGCACTTTTTATTTCTTTGTATATTTGTATATTTTAAAATACGTTGTACAGTCAATATCATCCCTTTTACAATGCTTCATAAAATATGGTTTTATGTATGAATATTAAGCAATTTTATTATTACAATATTTATATATAACATTTTATCAAGTTTTATTGAAGCCTGCTTTTGCTAAAACGCTGGTGCACTTCAGCATCATTAATTACCCCTTTCCTAATGGTTGCTTTCTTTTTGAACAGCTCAATTAATATTCATCGTAAATCACTAACGATTATTACCACAGGGTCATTAATAATATATTAAAATGTAAATACTTAGAAAAGCGCGAAAGAAGCAAAAAGATCAATGATGACAAGAAGCAAAAATTATTGGTTGAAGTTGTTTCAAAGAAAAGACACCAGCGATTATTTCATTTGGATTATAATACAATAAAACATTAAACTCGTAAAACATGCCCTGTACCGGTAATTTAAAAAAATTCAGTCTTGAATCCAAACAGAATTTATTATTTATGAAAAAATTAAAATTATTGCTTACTCAATTTGTCTTACTTCAAAGGTTGTGGTACTTTTGGGATTCGTTGCGTACGCCGCGGCCGGCTCATGGGGTCATCACGGACCTGTCGACACACCGGAAGTAGCAGCGGCTAAAGCCGCCCACTTCGCCGCAGTCGCTAAGGCTTCAGGACAGTAAGTCCATCATTTGCTTTAGTAAAAAAAAGGGCTAAATTAAATTTTTATTAGCGGTGGAGCTTGGAATGGTGCTGGCGCTTGGAACGGAGGATACGCCGGCTACAACGGCGGTTACCACGGAGGATACAACGGCGCCTACAACGGTGGCCACGATGACGGACAATGGCATGATGACACTCACCTCTACGACTACGCCCACGGACAGTAAGTCCTAAAATTGAGAATCTCTGAGAACAAAAGTATATGTATTTAATTTTTTTTCAGCGGCTGGAACAGCGGAGACGATGGCCAATGGCGCGATGACACCCACCAGTGGAATAACGGAGGGTAAGACTAAATTAGAGGACTTAATGAAATTTTAAAACTAATCCCTGCAATTACACTTCACCGGTACTGAAATTATTTCCTGATTGTTAATTACTATTTTGTGTCGTGCGTTCTTGAATAACCCTCGACCGTCGTCGGCATTACAACGCCTATGTTTAAGCCTGTCACCAATTTTTCCAAGCTCCGACCTTCCTAATTTACATTATCCGATAGTAGTATAATCATGTACAAAGTGAATGTTTTAATTACCGGACCAAGGTAAAACCAAGAAACGCGCTATAGGCAACATTCCGAAGAAAGCTGTTATTAGTTACAAAATGTGTTATTTGATTTAGTCAGTGTTTTACTGCCGTATTTTCAAATAGTAAAGTTTGATTGTCTATATTCATCACTGTCTTTGATTACTTGAACACTTACTAAATCTAATTACTTACAGCTGGAACCAATGGAACGGAAACCGTGGAGAAGACGGAGATGATGGACAATGGCACGATGACACCCACCTCTACGCTGACCATGGACAATACAACGGAGGAGCTTGGGCCGGTCACGGAGGCGCTTGGGCCGGTCACGGAGGCGCTTGGGCCGGCCACGGAGGCGCTTGGGCCGGTTACGGCGCTGGCTACGGAAACGGTTATGGAGGTGCCTGGGCCGGGCACGGTGGACACCTTGTCAACGGAGAGACACCCGAAGTAGCTGCCGCCAGGGCTGCCCATCTCGCCGCCCACGCCGCCGCTGCTCATCGTCACAGGAGATCTCTCGTCGCCGTCAACCCTCACTCCCTCCCGGTCCCCGCTGACACTCTCCACGTCGCCCTCGCCAAGCAGGCCCAGCTCGTCCAACAGCACACCGAAGGAACCAGGAACGTCCTCGGAGGCGGTGTCCCACTCCACCTCCCCGCTGACACCCCCGAAGTCGCCCTCGGCAAACAGGCTCACGCCGTCGCTCACGCCAGGCAAAACGCTTTGACCCACTCTCACGCTTACGCTAACGGACTCCACGGAGTTGCCGCCGTCGCTCCCGTCGCCGCCGTCTCTCACGTTGCTGCTGTAGCTCCCGTTGTAAGCGTTGCTTCCGTAGCCCCCGTCGCTGCAGTCCACTCTGTACCTGCCGTTGTTTCCACCCACACCTCCGTCTTGCACTCTGCACCTTTGGTCGCTTACGGACACCACGGCCACTGGTAAACTAACCACCGATCTACTATTAAATGCAAAAATGAAAGTTACCATGACTGCAATAAAGAGACAAGACATCTTTAAAAATTAAAAATTTTCTATTCATTTCATCTGTTTCACCCATTGCCTTCTAATTAACTTTAAAAAAATACTCGAACAATATGGCCTGCACTTTTAAAAAGTTGCAACAATTACAATACAATCTCATATTACTCGTTTTAAATTAATGAGATTTCAAATTAGGAAACCGAGAAATACTAAAGAATAAAGAATAACTAATTTACTGTACTCGCTTCGGCGGTACATATACTAAAATTGGAACGATACTGAGAAGATTAGCATGGTCCCTGCGCAAGGATCGTGAAGCGTTCCACATTTTTACGGATGTATGGCCTATTCCTCTGCCCGAAAAACGTGTCGGAGAAAACTCGATAGGCTCTACTACCAGGGTCTCAGAGCGATCTCGGGAAGGTTCAGGTCCAGCCCCTTGGCCAGTCTGTGCTGTGAGCTCGGGGTATTGCTTCCCGAACTACGGAGAGAGCAGCTCACACTCAATTACGCGGCCGGGTATCTGCCAAGCTGTGGCATCCTCAAGTAAGGACGATTCTTGAGTCCCCGTACAGAGCTGTCTATGACATCCTTCGCTCGCGGACGTGACCCCTCGGGATTCGCTTCGGCGAGGCCTTAGGGAGGGCTGGACTGGTTCTGGGGACTGTGCTGGGCGACCGGCCGACACCTCCCTGGACCCTTCCTGCCGTCCTCGTCCGCGACGACCTGGCGAGCTTGCCCAAGTCGTGTACACCGCCACACCTCTATAAGACTAAGTTCCTTGAACTTAGGAACAAGTACGCCGGTTTTGGTCTTGTCTTTACAGACGGGTCCAAGACTGGCGATGGTGTGGCCTGTGCCGTGTATAGCAAAGGAGGTATATCCTTCTGGTCGCTGTCCCCCCATTTCAGCGTATACACGGCAGAACTGTATGCGATCTGGCACGCTCTCGAGGCGGTGCGGACCGAAGAAGGAGTATGCACCGACTCTCTGAGCGTCGTTTGGGCCCTCCGAGACAGGTTCTCTGTGGACCCTCTCGTCGTGCTGTTGATGGAAAAATTCGCCGAGTTGAAGCGCTTCGGAAAAACGGTGGTTGTTGTCTGGATCCCCGGACAGGTCGGGCTGGAGGGTAATGAACGTGCGGACAAGGCGACAAAGGTCGGGACGTTCTACCCTCAAGACCGGACCGTTGCGACCAGGCCCACTGACGCCAAGCTAGAAGTTAAGAACATGATAAAAGAAAGATGGCAGCGTCAGTAGGTCGGGTCGTCTGAGAGGCTTTTGCGCGTCAAGAGCACGATTCGTAGGTGGCCCCCCGAGAACCTGAGCCGGAAACAAGGAAACGTCCTTACGTGATTCAGAATAGGCCATACACGGTTGACACACGGGCACAGCTCTTGGGCCAAAGCCCGCGCAGGTGCACCTTATGCAGAGAAAGGTTGCTCGATGAGTCCCACATACTGGAAACATGCCATGCCTTGGCTCCCTACAGGGATCTTAAGATGGCACTCGAGCACTGCAGCGAGTTTCGGGGTTCCCTGTTCCGCCTTTTAGGGGAAATTGGGGCTTTTTATTGTATATAATATGTCTTATATGTTGTGTGTCTACATGTTTTGTCTGAGGGCATGTATTTATTAGCGTGAATGTCGAGGGGTGAGGGTGAAATATAACATCATCATCACCCCTCGAACGTTGAGAACGTATGAATATGTGTTCGGGGCCGATGGTGGAATATTTATAAAAGTACTCCATCGACCCCAATCTAGATTAGTTTGAATATAGGCCCTCCATCGACCAAACGGAATGAGTGTATTGTATGGAGGTATTTATGTGTATGAATGTATTTATTTGTATGAATGTAGTGTTTGAAAGTGTAATTAGAATATTGACTTAGTTGGGGGCTGAAATGACCTAGATGTCGGAAGCCCCAGTCAAAAAAAAAACTAATTTACTCAAAAAGTGGAAAAATAACAAATCTGTTTCTAAGACCCTGAGTAGTCTGACCTATAAAACCGACTCCCGAGGCGATTCTATGTACCATTTAATTTTCTTATGCGCTTTGCATATCTAATTTTCATCAGACTAATTTATTCCAGACAATTCAAACTGGTAAACGTATTACTAGAATAATAGCGAAATCGCTTATCTTGTTTGTAAATGATTTATAGTTCGTAATGTTAACTCGTCTTTGATATAAATGATCGTTACCGTTTTGAAACGTATATTATAAATTACAAAATCGATACTTGTTTCAGAGTAATCGATACTAATTTGGCATTTTAATTATTCTGTTAGATTTCAAACTTAAAATTCTTAGGTCAGACGTAAAGGCGATTGTGATGTGATTATCACTTCTAAAAGCTCTTCATTACGGATATTTATAGCGAACGGAAAATGTAAATATTTGGGCTGGATTAGGCGGAGGCATTTTTTTCTACATTTCCTGTTGTTTCACTTAAAGATTCATAACTCCAGTGAGTTTTGTCGAAATTCAACGTTACGATAATAGTGTCACGAGCGGGATTCGAACCCACGACCTTCGGCTAAATACGCCGCTGCTCTACCACTTGAGCTATCGTGGCTTCGATCCTCTCGGACTCCAACTCTCCATCTCAACCTACAACCTTTCGAATTTTCCCTCCTTTTTGCCATTTTTCAAATGTGTATTCAGGATTAGATTCACGGCGACATATGAAGTGGCCACGGGGAGTTATTAGTGAAGCTATACTTCGTTTTACTTATTAAATCCATTATATTTAATGGTCTATTGACCAAATTACTTCTTTCAATTAATTTTTTTATGTAAGGTTTTGGTTGAGATGTGAAAAGTTAGTGCCACGATCGGGATTCGAACCCATGAACTTCGGCTAACTACGCCGCTGTTTTACCACTTGAGCTATCGTGACTTCCCCGTCGGTTCGAATCCCGGTCGTGACACTAACTTTTTCATTTCGACCAAAATCTTACATAAAAATATTAATAGAGAAAGAAGTAATTTCGTCAATAGACCACTAAATATTGGGTTGTCCGGAAAATAATGCAGGATTTTGGTATTAAACAAAAAAAAAGAAACTAGTTACTTTAAAGCAATGTTCTTTAATCAAAATAATTTCCCATACNTAATCCTGTAAACGTAAACAGAATATTTTATATAGATTTTTTTTAATGAAAACTTAAAATCCTGCATTATTTTCCGGACAACCCAATATAATGGGGTTATGATAATAATTAATTGAAATAATTAATATGGTCAATTAGACATTAAGCATAAACGGGTTATGATAATAGTTGGATAGAGAGATTTAATCTTTTAAGGTAAGTCAATAAAGTTTATTTTTTATAACATTTGAAGTGTGAGAGAAACACTTCAATTTTATTTTAATTCTCTAGTTTTCATTTACGTACTGGTACGTGTTTATTCTTACTGTACTTGTAATTTATAAGGTTCTAATGATCTGTAAAGTTTCCTGTGGTGTCATTTTAAAATTAACACAATTTTTGTGTTTTTCGGAAAAAAGTTGAAGAGGAAAGCATATTTGAAAAAAAATATTCGGTTATTTTATGATGCAAAAAGCGAATATGAACTTTATTTCTTGCCAAAAAAAATTAAACCTGCTTTGCTTCGTTGTTCAGTCACAATTTATGTATTTGAATATCTACGATATCAATGGTATGGCCAACTGCCAATAAATAGAATTTTTACCTAGTGACCCAGGACTTAGACGGGGTTTAGAGGTTAGAACCGTATAAATAATACATAATATCACAAAAGAACAATAGGTTATCATTAGTAAATATTTTAGATTTATGTTTACATGCAAATAAATGTTTACATGCAATTGCATTCATACACCATTTTGCCTCTCGCAGTTCCCACTTTACTATCCAACCAGCGCTTCGCAAAGACGTCATTTCCACCTACCTTGAACTAAAGTAATATGCCCTGGTGGATTTTTCGGTCAAACCTTTGACCGACGCTCCGGACTGTTGTGGAAGGTCATTCATATCTTACCATCAACCTAATACCTTTGCGACGATTTCGCCAATTTTGAAATTGGATTTTCCCTATGGCGTTGTTGTCCATTTATTGGAAATCGTCTCGCCCTTGAGAATCTTCTTCTGAAGAAACAATCTTCTGAGGTACGATGTGGGGCCGAAGGTATGGAAGAAAGAGGGGATACAAGATAAACAAACTCCTCAGCCGAGGTAGTGAGGCGTTTGTGAAATATAAGCCCATCAGAGGTCCAGCTAATAAGAAGTACAACTGTCCAACAAGAAGGGCATTTTGCGGCCATCTTGGAACGGCAAATTCCGGAAAATTCAAGCCTACACAAGTTGCCTTTTTTTTGGAAGATACATTTTAACCTTTTGTGTGTGTCAAGGCCAGTAATTCCGAAATTATAATTTTACATGAAATTTAAAAGATTTTGTTTTAGAAAATAAATACCCTTTTTTCTCTTTACTCAAAAGTGTACATTTTTTTTATCATTTCTAATTTCGTTATAACTTTTATTTTATTATACATTCTCTTTTCTTTTAGCTTAGGCACATATGTGAAGGCAGTTTTAGTGGGCAGTCTTTCTCTATAAGTTTCAAAAAGAAAAACCAATGCTCTAGCTGAAACTGACCGTCTCACCTTCTCCTAAGATCTTACTGATCCTTACTCCAAATATTCCACAACCCTTCAATATCTACCCTGCACTAGCAGGTGTCCAGCAGGGCTGCGCCCCCTGCTTTACTCACATTCCGACCCACCACACAACCTAAAGCGATTAAAATGTCTAAACCTAAAGATCCCATTAAAGCGTCTCGTAATCGCCAAAATCATACCTATAAGCTCAACTCCTGTCTTCGACAGTGGAGAGTCAAGGTCAACGATACTACAAACATAGTTTAGTATTCACTACCCTCAAGCAGTGTGAAATAAAGTTCCCACCTATTTACTTCAACAATGTTCCCATCCCTGCTCCGAACCATGTACGATGCATGGTAACATAGGTCAATAAACGCTTAAAAAGACTGCTTGGCAGACGATCTAAACAATTCACAAACAATATTAGACTTTACATTTGTGTGATGCCTTATTTGAACATATGGACTTGAGTCCAACTGAGACTCAATCTCTTTATGCTAAAATCCTCAGAATCAACGTCTCTTTCTGTTTTCAACCATCTCAACTATATCGACTAACCAAGCCACAAGAGGACTTATTCTAAACTATCCATTTAACCAATTCCCTTTGTCAAAAACCTGGCACCTTGACTGAAGAGTTGGTGGCCCCGCGACAATATCAATCATTGACTTTGTTTTCTTACGAAGGAGCCCATCGATCTCATCATGCTAATGTCCTAACAGCTTCCATTATGCTGTTAATGTTTACATGCTGCTGATATCTATATGTTACGAATCCTGAATTTTATCAGTTCAAGGATTAAGGACAGGAAGAATATTTATTCAATGAAACCGGCAGGAGCCAAGGATGTAAATGTAACAGCACTGTTCTTCATTTATGGAGGTCCTTAAGGTTAATAAATTTGTAAATTATATTTTAATAAATTTGCATAAATTACTTGTTTCTGTTGGTTGGATTGAATAAAAAAGGCCATAAAACGCAAATTCTGAATGAAAATTCTACCATTTAAAACCACAATACAAAAATTCAATTCTTTTATTTTTTTATTTCTTATTTCTTTTGAAGAAATTTATTTATTTCTTTTTTTTGCAATTAAACATTTTTTAACAAAAATATCAATAATTCAGGTTTTAGAACAATCATTTGAAAACAATTATTATTTAAAAATAACTGGGAGCAAATGAATAAAAATAATATTTAGATTTTATTCTGAATTCCACTGTTTAATTCACAAATCAGTAACAGTTATAAAAATAATATTTAAAAAATATATACACTGGACGCACTTTTTTTCCGTGTTTTATCTTTACAACTCGCATTTTATTTAGTAGTCCTGTATTGGTAAAAAAAATATATTCATTCAGTATTATTTAACAAAATTTTATAAATTTTTTGTTTAAGTTTACACTGAAAAAATAATTGTTAAATAAATTTGCAGAATTTATGAAAGAACATGTTTTAAATATTTCAAGTAAGAAAGAGTTCCTCATAAATGATTAAAATTTAAGCTTAGTTTGAATTTTCCTCTATTGAATGTTTCGCTGAAATGGTTACAAATTCAGATAAATGCCCTATTGCTTAATAAATAATAAATCTAATATAAAATTTTATGGTTATACTACTAGTCTTTAATAAAAGGAAAATGTTATAACTCAAGAAAAAACAATATTTCAGGATTCGTTTAATCTACGTTGGGCACTGCTGAAGAAATGTTGGCAACATTAATGCAAAAAGGTTTGAGTAGGGCAGTTTATTCAGGCGGGATTTGAAGGGAAAGGGGTGTAAAAGGATTTTTCATGAAGAATGGCCATTTTTGCAAATCAGATCCTTGCTGAAGGATTTATTCTGTATCTACACAACCTACGGTAGTACGGTGAATATTGAAAGTTCAAGTGAATGAATGTTTTAAATTTTTTTAAAACTAAAAATGAATTTCTGTCATACAAGAATACTATGCATACTATATGTATATATACGCATGTGGAGTTGATTCTTCATTATCGATGGCATGGATTCGAGGATATGCAAGTGATTTTGGAGATCACCAAATCACGGGAATCACTCGTGAAGGGATATTTATCAGAGGAAAGGATGGAGGTTAAAAGGTGACAACGTTTAATTCTGAAAACATGTCGAAGTGGCTAAAGTAAGGGAGCGAGGACGCCTGTGAGACACCTGCTAGGGTAGGATATACAGGTTGAGTTAGTTTAAGACGAACCATAAGGAAAAAGCATTAATTGTTTTCAAATTTGATCTATTTGTGCTTTCTCTATTATAAACCGGAGGTGAGTCAGATTTCGCCGTTACGACTCTTTCTTTCGATGTTTATAATTATTTCATTTTATTTATAGAAACCTATTGCCTCGAGCGGGATTCGAACCCACGACCTTAGGCTAAATACGCCCACTGCCCTAACCACTTGAGCTAGAATTCCATTCTCGTCGACAAATATGAATATTAATAACAGCCACGGGGAGCTGTTAGTGAAGTTATACTTCCTTTTACTTATTGAATCCATTAAATTTAGTGGACTATTAACCAAATTACTTTTTTCAATTAATTTATCTTTTTATGTAAGGTTTTGGTTGAAATGAAAAGCTAGTGCCAAGAGCGGGATTCGAACCCACGACCTTCGGCTAAATACGCCGCTGCTCTACCGCTTGAGCTATCGCAACTTCGATCCAAATTTAGTGTTTTAACGTAATGTTTTAATTGTTTTAATTTTAATTTTATAATTCGAAAGGAAAACAAAATCTATAATTCTTTATAACATAAATATTTATCACAGGAACAATCTTGTTTGTACTAATACAAAAAATTAATAATATTTTTGACTTTCAAACAATATTCTTTTTTAAATTAAACAAAAATAAATTAATATGAAATTTTCTTTTCTTTTATATTAAAAATTATAAAATACAATATACAATATACGATTCAATGCTTTAAAATAAAATGATTTGAATTTCGAACCAACCAGTAACTTGCAAAAATGGGACAAATAAAGGAAACTGACCTGATTTCTTCTATTTTACAACAAACACTCTTTGTCATAAAATTGGTCAGTTTGAGACAGGATATTTCTGCTGCTTGTTACTTCTTGAAATTGTCCTTTTTCCTCCAGCCCAGGAGAGAGAGTTTGTACTGCAATGCACCTCTGTCCCATCATGCTCCACTCAGCTTGTTTTTATTTTTATGATAAATTTGTTTTTTAAAATGATTATTTAACATTTTCCCATTTAATATTTAAAAATAAATTTTGTTTCCATTTTTTCGTTTCCCATTTATTTATTCATTTATTATATATTATAATTTTTTATTCTTATGTTCCTTAAAATATTCCTTAAAGTATTAATCCATATATGTTTAGTGGTCATAATTGACAATATTAATTATTTCAATTAATTATTCTTATTAACTTCACTAATTTCGTGGTCCGCTTGACCAATTAATATATTACAATTAATTAAGGTTTTTAGTTGAGATAAAAAAGTCAATCGCACGAGCGGGATTCGAACCCACGATACGCGGTAGATACGCCGTTGCTCTACCACTTGAGCTATCGTGACCTCGATCCACTCGGACAATAACTTCCCATCTCATCCCCAACTTTTGAATTTTCCCTCCTTTTTGCCATTTTTCAATTGGAATCTCGCTCGTGTCATTGACTTTTTTCATTTCAACTAAAAACCTTTATTAATTGTTATATATTAATTGGTCATGCGGACCACGAAATTAGTGAATTTAATGATTTAAAATGAAGTATATCTAGCCGGCGTATCTAGCCGAAGATCGTGGGTTCGAATCCCGCTCGTGCCATTGACTTTTTTATCTCAACTAAAAACCTTTTTTAATTGTAATTCTTATTAACTAGGGTCTTGGTTGAGATTAAAACGTTAGTGCCACGTGCGGGATTCGAACCCACGACGTCGCTGCTCTAAGCAAGTTCACGCTGGCTCGATACTTTTAAGAAGTACTTTACTTTTGAAAATTCATTCATTCTTCAAACAACAAGAAGATTTTAAATAAGAGTTCTTAAGAAATAATACAGTGGCAATAATAGTAGTTCAAATTTATACAAATCTGATATTTAAACATTCTTTTACTGGAATATTTATGATGGAAAATTAATGACGAAACTGAATTTATAATGTTTCTGATTATGATGAGCCTCTTTTATTTCATAAAATATATATTTTTTAATATATATTTTATTTCCAAATGTTCAGCTGAGGTAAGGCTATTAATTTCAAACCAGAATGGAAAACCTCTGGGCTCAGAAAAATATAAGTAATCCTGTCAAACTGTGGCAGGTCAAGAAAGACGCTGAAAGGCGAAAAGGCCATACTGGCAAGACTACGCATAGGTCATACAAGAATAATGCACGGACTCCTTCTGGCCAAAAAGCGACCGCGTCGGTGTCCTATTGCCTAGTGGTCGAAGATTCACTGTCGTTTGAAAAGAAGACAGTGATTAATGTATGAGAATGGTCATATAAAATTTAACTATAGTTTCAATTGGATTTAGTGGCATGGTGGCCGATTGACAGTATGACTCCAATGACAACTGCCCTCTCAAATTGGTCAAATGCGACCTCCAAAATCAGGCAAAAGGAAAGAAAGCCTTCCTATATTTGAAAGTGGAAGTATAGAGTTCGCGTAGACAAGAATAGGAAGTACGCGGAGACAGGATAGTGGGGGATTTTGTCCACTATATAACTAGCCTGGCGGTCTCTACCCTTCAGAACGGTCATAGCAGTTTCACAATGAACCCTACGGTGAGTCCAGTTATCGACAGCATATAAAAAAATTATACATTTTCTAAATCGGATCAAATTTCAAGTGCACATGTATAAACGTTTTTGAGTACAAATGTAATTAAGCACTTCTTTACCAACTTCACATGCACGGTACACTTTAAACTATTAAGTGTCATTTTTTATTATTCCAAATTCTTGATTTGTGTACAGTAAATAAAAATACATTGATTTTTTTTAAAAGAAGAAATGTGTAAGAATAAGAAAACGTATAATTTTTTGGCCAGTTTTAACTTGTTATGACATAATGGATTTTTGACTAGACTACAAAATTTGAAAGCATACATATGTTCCATGGACTATTATATTTTGTACTTTACTTTTTAAAATTCATTCATTCTTTAGAAAACAAGATTTGAAATTCTTTAGAAATAGTACAGTAGTAATGGTAGTAGTTTAAATTTATAAAAACCTGATATTTAAACTTTCTTTTACAGTAAAATTTATGATGGAAACGTAATGACGAAACTGAATTAATAATATTTATGATTATGATGAGTATCTTTTCTTTTATGACAGAAATTAATAAAAATTTATATTTTATAATAGATAATATATTTATAATATATCAAATATATATTAATACATAAATTAAAACAAAAATATTAATAAAAAATCGAAAATGATATGTTACATTTGCATAATTGCCAATTTAATTTTTAATTTTGCAACAGATTCATTAAATGTTAAATTAAATCAAATATTCAAATAAAAATTATTTGTTGCTGCAATTAGTATATATGGATGGCAAAATTTGGTCGATTTCATATTATTAATAGTACATTTTCAAATTTTTGGAACCACTCGATTCTAGACATTCATTACTATAAAATTATTTCTGGATATATTTTTTTGTTATTACCATTATATTTTGGTGAAGAAATTTTATTACGAAACTGTGGTTTTTTATGGTATTTGCGTTTTACGTGGTAGATAAGGTTTTCTATTTTGACAAATTTCTCCACTTTTAATTTTATAAAGCCCTAAACTCGGGACATAGTCAACTAAATTAATAATAAATTATTTCTAAAAACGTTGATAAAAGAAAATTTACATAATTCCATGAAACTAGACATTTTGTAAACTTTAATCTGTCTTAATGCCTGAATTTTGAACTTTAATACCCCTATGTAAAGACGTTCCATTTGTAAAAATAAGTAAAGATTTTATGTAGCTTATAATTTTCTAAAAAACAGTTGGTTAAATATATTTTCTACTTTAACTAGACATAATTTGTGGCATGTTATAATTTAACTTAATGAGACATAGACGAATAAAAATAATTTACTTTCACACGAGCTTGTTCGATTTGTCCTTCGGTCTAATTTTTATTCAGGACACCTTGAAACTAATACGAGGGCGGTATACTTTGTTAGTATATGCTTCCTCGAATTAATTAATTCTTTTTTTAAACTACTTTTCAAAATCTAAGAGGTTGCGAACTAAAGATGATCTTAAAGACCATTTTTTTACGTTTTTAAGTATAGAATTGTTGTTTAATTATGTTTTTTAATAAGTTTTCCATTTTAGGTAGCAGTGCTTCTGGGATTCGCCGCCTTTGCCGCGGCCAGCCCACAATGGGGACACGGACCTGTCGCCGACACCCCCGAAGTAGCTGCCGCCAAGGCCGCCCATTTCGCCGCAGTCGCTAGGGCTTCTGGACAGTAAGTCGATAAAACTTTCAATTTTAAGAATTATTTATTAATTTACTTTTTTTTGCCCCTCTAGACAAGGAGGTTACAACGGTGCTCCCGCCCAGAGCTGGAACCACGCTCCTGCTCAGAGCTGGAACCCAGCCCAAAACTGGAACGGTGCCCAAGAAGACGATGGTGAATGGCGCGACGACACCCACCTCTACGACCAAGGAAACAGCGGTGCTCAGGCTCAGTAAGTTTCTGAAGCCCTTTTTCATTTAAATGAGTGCTTCCTACCAAGGCCTTAACATAAATGGCTATTATAAGCATATGTTTCTTTGAGTCAAGGAAGCAGTTAGTTATGACCAATTCGTTTCAGTTATGCGTCATTAACTTTTCCAGTGATTAGTCTTTGTTGATGTGTACACTACTTGTCTTCTGTCGGAGCAATTCAACACAAATATTTTCAGATGGTCTGGTGCTTACAACGGAGCTCAGGAAGACGATGGACAATGGCACGACGACACTCACCTCTATGACAACGGAGTCGGACAAAACGCCGGACAATGGGCTGGTCACAACGCCGGACAATGGGCTGGCCGTAATGCCGGTCAATGGGCTGGTCACAACGCCGGACAATGGGCTGGTCACAACGCCGGACAATGGGCTGGCCGTAATGCCGGTCAATGGGCTGGTCATAATGCCGGACAATGGGCTGGTCAGAACGCTGGACAATGGGCTGGACACCAACAACAGCCCCATTTGGTGAACGGTGAAACCCCTGAAGTCGCTGCCGCCAGAGCTGCTCACCTCGCCGCTCACTCCGCCGTCGCTCATGCTGCCGGCTCCCACCGTTACAAGAGAGGAGTATACGCCGTAGCTCCCGTCGCCACCCTCCACTCCGCTGCTCTCGTCAGCCCCGTCGTCCACACCTCTTTCGTCCACACCCCCGTCGTCCACACCCCTGTCTCTCACACTTCAGTCGTCGAAACTTCTGTCGTCCACACCCCAGCCGTTCACCACGGCTACTTTGCCAAATTCCACGGCCTTTGGTAAGACGTGACAAAGTGCAGCCGATCTCTAAAGTATTTATTGTAAATTTCCAATACTCCGATTTTCAATAAACTTTATACTTTTTTACACTTCTTTCTGTTCTTACTTGTTTTTAATATCTGACGTTCCTTATGACACTATTACAAAGAAGTTCTCTTTTTAACCCTTCAATGTGTTTGCATTATTGTTATCAATAAAAGGATTAGCAAAATCCGTGTTTTCGCATATGAAATTTCATAATTGGTAGGCCGTATTTCAGCCAACCTCTACATGAAAAATTTATGTTTTGATGATTACTTTGTACATCACTAATATTTTAAAACTATAATCTCATTTCATTATTTAATAGTTTAGTACTTAAGATTATCTTATTATAGTTTTATCTTGTATCAATATTTGCCTCTTGGAAAAAGTTTGTTGCACCGAATACAAAAGTTTTGCTTAAAACATCTTGAAACTTGTTACAAGACGGAAGAGATAATGAGGACTAAATGAAGTGGGAGTTAGAAACTTATCGTTAAAGTCATCGTAAGAAGACAAAACGAGAAATATAGTAATAACGGTAATAAAAATAAATTGAGAAAGATTGACATAAAGAACAAGAAATTTATAACAATAAGTTAGGTAAAATGACAGAAGAGTAGCATGGGAGAAACAGAAAGAGATAAATGGAGAAACAATAGGTTTAAAAAAATTGAAAATGGAGATTCAGAGTAAAACAACATTATTCCACCAGAAACGTAGAACATTAACGGGGAGAAGTAGACATTAGTAGGTAATAAAATTAATAAATGTGTGGTGATTAGATTATCGATACATCACACAAAACATATAAAATAACATATAAAACATTCATCACATTCCATACATCAAACATCTTACATAGTCTAATTTTTGAACAATTTAGCTTTCCTTTTCCTATTTATCCCAGTCTATATAATCCTAAAAGGATAATCTGGCCGAACCATTATCAACGTTTTTTCCCATCGTCGGCTCTTTTCACCTCAAAAAAGCCGACTACTTATACAAAAATGTCTTTCTATACCGACTTCCTTCCCCACCCCTCCAAACACTTTGAGTGAGTAGAAATACTTTGATTGAATATAAAAAAATATTTATTTGCATTGTATACATTCACTTTTTTCAACATCCGGCATGTTTTTGTTAAATTTAAACATTGTTTGTAAATCCCAGGCCCTGAAGATGATCTCAATAAACATCGAAACGTTGGCACGATGAAGAAGTTTTTCTGAAACCTACATCACACCAGACCCATCTCACGATTTCTGAATAGTCAAAATTAATAAAGAATATACTAACTGGGCTGAATAAAAAGAAAAACAAACCGGGTGTAACCGAAAGAAATAGTAAGAAAATGAAAAAGAATGATTTCATGAGAAAAAAACAGTAATAGAGATAGAAATATAACGAGATAGATATATAGATGGGGATATAAAAGGAGTGAGAGAAAAAAAAGAAAAGAGAAAGAGAGATAGAAAGCGTACGGAGAAATCAAAAATTATTCAAAGGAAGAGAGTGGAAAAGGAAAATAAGAAAATATCATATTGAACAGAATAATATAATAGACGAGTTTTGGAAAAAACGGATTATATCATAAGCAGTTTGATTAAGCAGGTTAATTAACGAAATCACCAAAGTCACATAATGTTTGCCAAAACATCCACAAGAAAAATATCAGATAAAAAAAGAAAACATGGTATCAGAAAAAGGGGGAGATAAAGAAGCAGAAAGACGTCTAAAGAATAAAGTTGAGCCGAATAATAGATAGAATACGAAGAGTTTTGGGGTATTTTGGGGATTACCTCAAGTTCACCCCCTTACTTGCATATAGGAAACGTGACCTCCAGGGAGATAATCTTTTTGCTGTATTACATATCCTTCTCCATTTTTTCTTATAACATTGATATTTCCCCACGAAGACGAAATATATGCAAATAAACTTATTTACATGCATAAACGATGTGGTCTCGTTTTTCTCTTTTTAATAAAACTATATTTTAAAATATCTACTTAAATTTGAAAAGTGGTATAAATAAAGTATGCATTTTTCATTTTCTTACATAAGAAATTATGTAATTTAACAAATATTAGAATATTTTTGTAAATTTTTATTTCCTCGGATATTTACAAAGGATCACTTTACATAATTGATTTTGCTAAATTGAATATAAATTCATCAGCTTTTTTTTTTCTTAAAACTTGTTATTATTATTATTATTAATTTTTAAGGGCGTTTTAACGACTAAGGTCATTTCACGCCCTAACATCCAAACCTTCTATCTTAGGTTAGCTATATCTCTTCTGAGTACTACAAAGCTCTGACTCCAAACATTCACTCGTAATCTTATTTATCCTATTGCCATCCAAGCTTTAATTTTTCTTTTTAAAATTCTTAATTCGGAAGGCCAAATCCATACAAAATTCCCATTTTAAATTGCATAAAATTTAATAAAATTATAAAATTTATTTCTGTTTCTTTTTTTAATTAGAATTGTGAATTTTGTTCCATAATTTAAAAATTCCCCGTAGGCTTGTATGGCTAATAATAATAATAATAATGGAGTCAGACTAGCAACAGTCTCAGCATGAGTATTGGCTCATCCTTATCCTTTTATTCTTCCATTCAAATATGATACATAAACTAATTCTACATAACAATAATAAGAAACAAAACACAATAACATTTCTTTATCTTTATCTTCTT